AGACAGCGCCAGACAGACAGACACAGACAGACAGACACAAACACACACACAAACACGTGCAACCTCCTCACCCCGACCAACATCTTGTGGCCCAGAGGAGCGAGCGCCAGAGCGCGACCTCGAGGCACGCGGGAACCACGGAGCTGTGTCTGTGAGTGGAAACTGGAGCCTGGGCGAGCCGCGGACAACACCGGGGATTCTGACGGGTCCCTGCGGGGGGAGGTCAAGGGTGATTCTATTTTTTTATAACCTTTTTTGGTTAGTGTTTTACGGCACTCGCAGCTGCATACAATAAATAGACAATACACACATCATACACACATCATACACACATCATACGCATAAATTTGCATATTTCCTAGTATGCGTGTTATCGCCTTCCTTTAAGCTCTTTGTGTCTGACGGGTGAACCCACTAGGCCGGGGCCGTCTTTTGGTACAAAATCTAAACATGACATTTCCGTCACGAAATTGGTCATTAAATCAAAACAAATGAAACTTATTTTGAAAGTTGTTCATCGAATGGAAGAACTCCCAGTGCAAGACGGCTGTTTTTGGCCATAGCCACAGAATCTAACTTGACATCGTAAAGGAACGTGCATGAGCTGTGGGGAGAACCTTGCCTGACAGAAAGAGTTAAAGTTTTAGACGAATAAAACGTCATTGAAGAATCTGTGAGAAAAACGAAGTTATACCCCTTTTTGAAAATGTTCCTAAATAGCGTGGGTTTTTTTCAGCATTGTTGAATGACCAGACACACGTCCTTGGTGAGTTAGTCTTTACTGTCGGTACTTACATCTGATTTCAGTAGGTCACTTTTAAGCACAAGGGGGCTGTCCCGAAAAATGCTGTTTTGAGAAAAATCGAAGGTAAAGTTTTGGACCCTTGTTCAGTTTCTTTAAAAGACAAGGAGAGTTTTCTCTATAACCAAACAAATACAAACATCAAAGAAACCAAACTTCTCCTATAGGTAGGGCAATGCCCACTTTTGGTGTAGGTCAAGATGTCTGGAAACCCCCGAAATCTGGGTTAGCCCGCTTGTCCTTAAAAGCGACCAGTTATATGAGTTAATCTTACTTTACTGTTGGCACTCACATCTCATTTCAGTTATGAGTAAATCTTACTTTACACCATTGGTACTCACATCTGATTTCAGTTATGAGTCAGTCTTACTCTACAGTTGGTACTCACATCTGATTTCGGTTCTGCAAAGGCATGCTGGAGATCTGCAGGAGTCCGTCGAAGGATCGGTCCGTGCTGCTGCCCAGGTGTGTGTGTGATCGCTGGAAGGGGAAACATTACAGAGGAGCTGAAACGTTGTGCACACAGACACACTCACACACACTCACAGACACACATAACACACACACACACAGATACACACATACGCGCGGACACACACGACATCACAGCTTGAGGAAACAAACGCCACATGACGTCTAACAACTATTGAGAGTGAAAGTGCTCCCCTGTAGTTAGTTTCCATAAGACTTTTAAGGCACTTGCAAACACACATAGGCCATATAAGTGCCTAAGATCTGGGCTATTTGACAATGACAATGACAATCTTTATTCATCTCGCAGGGAGAAATTTCTCCTAAATGCACTACAGACTAACACACAAAGGTAAAGGAGAAGGAGGAGAGATAAGGACCGTAGACATCTGACAGGAAAGGTGGAGCATCCCACACCAGAGCGGCCGCCAACCACCCCCACTCACCCGTTGCTGCGACAGCGTGGAGGGCTCCCGGGACATGGGCGTGGCTTGGTAGCGGTTGATGAGGGACAATGAAATGACTCCGTTCTTGTTGTCTGAAACACCGAAACAAGAAATGGCCGGTTAGTAGTCAGCTCAGTTCTCTGTCAGCTTCCAAAATCAGCGTTTGACACCTTTACATTTCTGGAAACCTTCAAATAAACACAATCTTAATTATAATTTTCATCATCATCATCATCACCACCATCATCATCATCACCATCATCATCACCACCATCTTCACCATCATCATCATCACCACCATCTTCACCATCATTATCATCACCACCATCTTCACCATCATCATCATCACCACCATCTTCATCATCATCATCATCATCACCACCATCATCATCATCATCATCATCATCATCATCATCTTCATCATCACCACCATTCACCATTATCATCATTGTTTGGAAAGCAGAGTAGGAGGGAGAGTCTTGTTTGATTTTCAGACAAAATAACATAACAATAGAAAATGTTTAAAATTTGTTTAATAGACACAGCTCAACGTTTCGCCCCGTGGGCTTCCTCAGGAGCAACTGAGAGAAAAACTAAATGAGCGCTGTATACTAGCAGGGAAATGGGCCTAACGGAGAGGGTCTTAGGGTTACATGTGGTTACAGGCTAGACGGAAGTGAGTAAGTGGGTGCCAGGCCAAGGGGTTGATTAGAAAGCATCATCATCACACTCCAGCAAGTACATCAAAGTGTTTGAGACTCTCTGTTTTTGTGTGTGTATGTGTGTGTGTATGTGTGTGTGTATGTATGTGTTTGTGTTTGCGTGTGTACGTGTGTGTGTATGTGAGTGCATGTGTGTGTGTGTGCGTGTATGTGTGTGTGTGCGTGTGTGTATGTATGTGTGAGCGTGTGTGTATGTATGTGTGGGTGTATGTATGTATGTATGTATGTGTGTGTGTGTATGTGTGTGTATGTGTATGTGCGTGTGACACACTCACCTGCGATCTCCGTGGTGTACCTCTGAAGCAGGTCCCTCATCCACGACATAATCTGTGGAACACAACAACAACAACAACATCAACATCAACATCATCTGCTCATTTGGCGGGAACAAGAAGGCCCCGAGAACATTTAACTGGGGCACAAGTGGTCAAATACTACAGTTTAATTTTAGTACGAGTTTTACGGCACTTGTAAGACAAATAGCTTCTGTGAATGCCGATAATACATTTGACAGGAAAGAAGCCAACCACACTAGGGCACAAAGCAACCACCCACCCACCACAAGATGAAAAGAAAGGTAGAAACAGGACAACGTTTTCACCCTCCAGACTTGAGTTTTTTGTGGTGCTTGGAACACTTAACATCTAGATGACCTTCAGAAGCATCTATTTCTCGCTCTTTTTCTCTCCCCCACCCCTCTCCCCCATCCACTCATCTACCCACACACACATGCACATCC